TGTAGGACGCGTGGTGGCACATACCTGTAATCCCAGCACTTGGGAGGCAAAGGCAGAAGGATCGCTGCGAGTTCGAGGCCAGTCTGAACTGCATAGTGACACCCTGTCCTAAAAGACGAAGAGAAGAAGAAAATAGCACGCAAATGAATAAATTGTCTGGTGAGCTATAAAGTAATACATTATATAGAAAAAATAGGACAGGGTAAAAGAGGCTAGAGGGGCACATTGCAATTTTAAATAAGATTTTTAGAATGAAAATCAGTCAAAAAGTTACATTGAGGCAAGATTTGAAGGAGGGAATTGGCTACCAAGTAGTTATCTGGGGAAAGTGTTCTTAATCTGAGAAAAGCAGGATAGGTAGGAGAAAAGCGTTCCAGGAAAAAGAGCTCTAAGTCTCCCAAGGTTGGCCTGTTCAAAAAACTATGGAGAACGGGTCAGATGCAAAAGGAAAATAAGAAGAGGAAAGAGGGATTGAGATTGGATAGATGGTGTATAAAGTTTTATAGGATGTGGACTTTTATGTACCATGCACATCTCTTGGAGGATTTTGAAAAAAAGAAAGAGTGATATCTGGCCTATATTTTTATTTTATTCTGTGCTGATGCTGCGGATAAAACCCACCGCCTTTTCCATGCTAGGCAAGCAGTCTCCCACTTAGCTGCATTCTTTCTCCCTTGACTTGCATTTTAAAATCAACACGCATACTTTTTCTGAGGAGACCATGGGCAGATGAGGAGAGGAGGTGAAAGGAGAGAAATGATAGTGGCTTGAACTAGGTTAGGTGTAGTGGAGGTGGTGAGAAGTGATCAGATTCTTCTACAATGAGATTGGAGAAAATGAAAGAAATGAACTAACCAAGTATGATTTTGTAGCTTTTGACTGAAGCAAACCAGAAGGGTGGCGATACCATCAGGTCACATGGGGAGACTCAGGTGGTGCAAATTTGAGATGATCAAGATTTCAAATTTGAAAATGTTAAATTGAAAATATCTCAGTGATCTGTTCAAATAACCAATTAGAATATATAAATCTGAGGGAGGCAGGGGGGAGAAGGTGGGACTACAGTTAAAAATTAGGGAATAATTAGGGAATAATCATCATGCAGCTATATTTCAAAGCATTAGTGAGTGTAGAGGGAGAAGTGGAAAAGAGATAATTGCCAGGGACTGAACCATGGAGCAGTCCTACATGAGGAGGAAAGGACGAAAAAGGATGACCTACCAAAGGAGAATGAGAAAAGTAAACCAAGAGAGAGAAATGTCATGGAGTTGAAGTGAAGGAAATGTTCCTTCAAATTTAATTTGTTGTATTCTTCACTTTGATTTTATGAAAATGACCTACAGTGACAAAGTCCATTTTGGTGTATTGGAAGTCAATTTTCCAGAAACTCTCAATTTCAAAGTTTATATTTTGACATCTGTTTTCTTTGATAATCCAATACTTTGATATATTCAAGTTTGTTTCTCATTCATCTTCTTTTTAACAAATTCAGGACATCAGAAACATTAAAGCTGTATTTCAGAATACAGTCTCCATCTTTACCTAATATTAAGTCATAAGCCAAAATTGCGATTAAATAAAACTATCATATTTGGATTCAAAATTAGATTTGAATTATACAGTAAAATAAAAGGGGAAAATAGTGTTGAGTTTAAAAAACACTGATGTGAATTGACTACAATAAATTGTTTTCATATACAGTTTATTTAATGAGCCATAGTCACACCAAAAAACCAAAATGAAACAAAAAACATGAGATGTAGAAGAGAAGACAGCATCATCTGAAAACTGTAGACTTAAGAAATATTGTGGAAGGCCCTTCTAGTTTGTGAACCAAAATAAATTGGATCGAAATTAGTCTCCTTACTGGAAGCATAAATTTGATCTAAGGTGGCCTTTATAGTGAAATGCAACCTAAGGTGATTGTAAACAAATTGTAACCTAAGAGTACACACTTGAAACCAGACAACTGAGTTATAGCAGCTAAACGTCTAATCAATCAGAAGCTTATAATTTTCATTAGCACCCATAGAAATAAAGCAAAGGCCAACTGCAGCCAATCAGGTGGTTTTGGTATTGAGACTGCTTTTCCTCTGACTATAAAACTGATCTTCACATTTGGTGGGTTGGGGCTTTCTGAACCAACTTTCCTTTGGAAGGCAGCCCCATTCTAGAAATTTTTTTTTCTTCCTCAACTAAACTTCGTTAAATTGAGCTGGTTCCATTCTCTGTATATATCTTTTCCTTATAAGAACATAGTCCTAAAATAGATTTAGGTAACTGTCTTAAATTATTCAGGATGACTTACAAATGCAACCATAAGATCTTAATATAGACATTTTCCTTTTTGTTCTTTATGTGCTATTTATAGTAACAATTGTGTGCATTGAATGAAAGGATTTCTATGATCAGAATAAAATCCTTATTCTGAAGCAGTCACAAAAACATCAATTCAGCAAATACATATTTAATGCTACTTATTATAGTTTAGGTCTGGAGTGTCCCCAAAAGCCTTGAGACTCCTCTTGGTGCTACTGGGAAGTGGAGTAGTCTTTCAAGAGGTCGGGCCTAGGCCCTAGATGAACCTTTTAGAGCTTTCAATGATAATAAACAGCTGCTGCACGTATGCCATAGGTTCACCACCACTAGCCTAGGGGGAGGTCTGTAGGTCATTCCTTGAATGGAATGGTGGAATCCCAGTCTCTTTCTTATCCTTTCTTGCTTCCTGACTATGAGGTGAGCATTTTTTCTTTGCCATCCACCACTCACCTTGCTATCTGGCATTTCCACCAAAAGCTTAAAAGCACAGGACCACCTGATAATGGACTAGAACCTCAAAAACTATGAACCAAAACAAACATTTTAGAAGTTAATTATCCTAAATATTTGTTAGAAAGTCAGAAAACTGACTGACACACTACCCAATAAATACATAGGATGTATGGGACCGATGGAAACAGCAAATCAGAAGTATGTTCAGACCTTAACTCAGTTACCTAGCTGCTATAAAATCTCCAGTTAAATCACATTATCTTTGTGAGCCTCTATTTTTTAAATCTGAAAATGGGCCAATTATGCTACCACATAGATGATACAGACAGAAGTGGAGATAATGTGTATTAAAGGATTAGACACTTAATAATAACTAGCTGTTGTTATTTGTAGGTGTCAGAAGCTGCTAAACAATGTGAGGGCAAAAAACATGTTTACTTTTAAGTGGGATATGGCTTAGAAAAAGTAGAAACATGAGTCTTGTATTTCAGATGTTGAGTAGAGATCAGTGTTGACTGTATCATCAGAATTTGCTCTTTCTCACTAATTGCTTCATTATCTGTTACCTCCAAGGCCCATTCTCAATAGAGTATATGTTAGTTTTGAAGTAAAATGCTTATTTCAAACATTTCCTATTTTAAAATTTGTTTTGATTCTGACATGTTATGGACCCTGGGACACAACTCTTAGGCATCGGATGAATTAAGTGATATAAACTAATTTCAGAATATTTGATCTATGTACTCTTATTTAATTAATGTATTTTATAGATGAGATGTTTACTAGTAGGAAGTAATTCTAATTTTATGCAAAGGGTATCAGTTAATTAAAGGTGAAGAATAGCCAAATGACTATAAGAAATAAAAATTGCCACTATTACAAACCAAAGATAAATTTTAAAAGTCAATTAGATGATAATCCTCCACATAAAAATAAATTTTAAAATACAAAATAATAAGTCAAATAACTTGTTGATTTTGTACATTACCTACGACAGTTTGTCTCAACAGTGTAAGAATGGTTAACATCTTGAGGTTTTTTACACATAATATGATAATTATATTATGTCAAAATGTATCATTGATATGTGTGATAGGAAGAAAAAGTCTAAAAGAGCATGGGAAGTGGGAAGGGTAGGGGAAAGGTAAAAAGACAAAAGCAAAAATATAAGAAAAGGAAAAACATGGAAACGATATCTATGTGAACAGAGAAGGGTGGAGGGAGTGAATGGAGGGCTGGGGAATGGGGAAAAAATAAGAACCAAGACCTGTCATGTAAAGGTGCAAGATCTCAATGATGAATGTAACTGTACTGTATACCTAAAATGTACCAATAAATTTAAAAAAATAAATAAACCATTCATTTTCATCTTAGAAAATCTGTCCAAACTAGGTGATGGCGAAGGAATTATTATAGCAAGATGTTGTTATGGACATATAATAAAAATACTCGATACAATCAGTTTCTTTAGGTAAATAAAAGATTAACCACTGACTATTAAGCATGTTTACTTTTTGTTAAAGTTATTTAAAAACCTGGCATTAGGTGTGTTCAGGTGGCACTTGGACATTTGATTCATTTGGGGAGTGGGTGCTGGGAATTGAGCCAAGGGCCTTGCACATGCTAGGCAAGTGCTCCACCACTAAGCTAAAATTCCACTACACCCACAATTCATTTTATTACTGCTTACATTACTAACACTGATTAGCTGCATTGTCCAGATATTGCTAAGATTTTCATCTCAGTAGTAAGACATTATCATCTCTTTCTGCTAAATCACTGACTGTTACTTCTGGATTGAATGCTGGAGAAGGTTTAAAAAAAAAAAGTGGAAAATGGATAAAATCTGAATAAAGTCCAAAGTGTATTTAACAGCATGCACCAATGTTGGTTCTTAGTTTTGAAAAAATTGCTATAAGAATGTAGGAGTTGGCATTTAGGCCAGCTCTGTGTTATTTTTGGAACTGTTCTGTAATTTTAAAATGATTTCAAAATTTAAAAAAATTTATTTAGAAAAATCTCTCCTTGAACCTTCACAAGGCCCTTAAGCATTTCCAAGTAAAAAAGGACACTGCATGAACTCAGGCTGCCTGTTTGTAGGTAGACCAACAGTTTAATTTGTTGTGTTGGAATACCCACAAAGTTTTTGGCAGGCACAAAACACATGTGCTAAATATATAGGGTAGACATTTAAAATAGAGAAGGTGTTTCCTTTACTCTCCATTCCTTGAACTTTTTATATATAGAGTTTCTACAAGAGTGCTTTGCACTTGGTGATATATTGTTTTAATAATAATCCTTAAATCATTTCATGGTGACTGTTCCATCCACCCCCGCCCTCCTCCAGAGCACTTAATGCAGTTGTGCTTCAGGAAGCAGCATTCACA